CAAGGTCACATCTGGGCTCAGGTTCGCAGTGGCCTATGATTGCCTTGCTTCTGTGTGTGAAGTTCAAGTGGATCGCTATCTAAACGCAGACATCAAGTGGGGAGATGGGTGGTCCCTGGGCAGATCTTGGGGTCCCAGCGCAGGGCTGTGGCTGACCAGTAAGGGGCACCCTCCTGGTAACGCCGCCCTCTGTGCCCCAGCTGTGGGAGAGTCTTTCTACTCAGCTCAGCTCCGTCTCAGCAGTGCTCATTTTCAAAGGCCAGTGGAGGGAATTGGACTTTCGATGATGCTTTAACTTCTCAAGTATATGACTAATACTTGAAAGGATTATTAAGAGACATCTTTATTTTTAATTTGTCTTTTTGTTTGGTATGTGACCCAATTAATTCATTCTTACTGCAAATGTATTAGAAGACCCTGTACCCTCTTGACCTCTCTTTCTAATTATTACTATCATCCTCCTTATTTTGATTACACACTTCAAGGAACTACTAAAATACCCTCCCGTCTCTGCATGGCTGAAATACCCACTGCTTGTGCTCAAGGACAGTCGTCCATGAGTGGTTCTTGTCCTCGAAGTTCAACTGGCCTATACCTCCCTTTTCACCTTCTGCCTTTCCCCACCACTTTACCCCTCTCCCTTTAGAGGATTTTTAGTCACACATTCCTACTTTAATAGGCTAGCTCTTCTCCCTGAGGCCCAAAGAGCTATGTTTTAACAAACACAGAAAAATCAATAAATGTGTTTTATCAGTGTGGGGATTGCAGGCAGGTGCCTCACAGCAAACATTATTGCAATTTCGCCATCCTTCCCCCCTCCCCCTCTCCAAACACACATCCCACCTCCTCCCATTCCCGAACACACATTTGTATTTGTTTCTTCTTTCCTTAGATGACACTATCTGGCCAATCTTCATTCAAATGAAAATTGATCAGTGAACTCACCCAAATACAAGTGGAAGCCTCTGCTTGGGAGGAAATTTTAACCAAATTAAGTTCAAGTGAAATAAAGTTCTTTCTTCTGCTGTCGTGTCTGGTGGTGCGAACATTTTCACCTGCTTAGATCTTATGAAAAGTCCCTTCCACCATTTAGTTATCCCAAGGTGTCCAGTTCTATAATGTAGTACTATGCTTTGAGAAGATTCACAATAGTTTATTGAGATAAAGATACTCAGTACTTTGTACTCAGTATTCAGTACTTACTCACAATAGTTGAGATAAAGATACTCAGTACTTTGTCTTGTTCTTTAAATGAGACCTAATAGCCTATTAGTGGGCCATTCAAGTGTCCTCTTGGAAGTCCCCCCCCCCTTTTTGGTCCTCTGTCCCGTCTTCTAACATTGCTGTAGAAAGAATGCGTACATAATCCATGACAGTTCAGTGAAAAGAAATATAGAAAATAGGGATGAGCCCCTAGCCTAGTGGTAAAAGGAGCTGGATCCCCCATGGTTGAACACAGTTCAAATCCCAGCCCTGGAAGCTTGAAAAACATGCCAGGCACTTGTGCATGCATACCTCAAACCCAGCGGTATAGAAAAATGGAAAGGAATTGCAATGTGACCATGCTCTATTAGAGGATGCTTTTCATCCTGCCTCCTACCCTCTCCACCCCTGTCTCTCTCTGGCAAGTGCACACACCCTCTAGCAATTAAAAAAGAAAGAAAGAAAGAAAGAAAGAAAGAAAGAAAGAAAGAAAGAAAGAAAGAAAGGAAGGAAGGAAGGAAGGAAGGAAGGAAGGAAGGAAGGAAGGAAGGAAGGAAGAGAAAGAAAGAAAGAAAGAAAGAAAGAAAGAAAGAAAGAAAGAAAGAAAGAAAGAAAGAAAGAAAGAAGGAAGGAAAAGAAAACTACAGATAATGCTATAGATAACAAGGAGAAAATTAAAACTTTCTCAAATGTTGCAAGAATGTACTAACATCCACATTTCATCCACCTCTGTGGATTGGGTGCAGGTACAATGTGGTACTCCCCATTTTCCCAAATACGATGAGACCTTCGGGGAAATTCTAGCTGTCCACTCGTGTTTTAGGGGTTTAACGTGGAGTCGTACGCAGTTGTCATTACTGAGTCTGTTTAACCTAAGTTCCTCTTTAAGGGTTTTGTCCAACCCTGGAGTGTAAAACAAAACTTTCCTTCATCAACAACAATGGAAACATATTTCCTTTCCAGGGATTGAACCACTTCTTTTCTAATCTAAATCTAGGATTTAACCTTCTTTATTGACTATCTTGTGGCAGAAGTCTACATTTTTGGAATTTTAACATGCAAGTCAAATGCCCTCATTTGACAGGTGTTTATTGAGTACCTGCTTATATAGGGCACAGTGCTGTTACCCTACTGGAGGGTTAGATGGGCTGATCTTTAATCATGAGACGAAAAACATTGGGGACTAGACTGGAATTGAAACCCATTCCACACTACAGCTTTTGAGAGTGGCATGTGTGTGTGTGTATGTGTGTGAGTTTTTTGTCACAGAATGAGTGTGCTCACCAGAGAGACAGACACAATGAGAAGGAAAGTGAGAAATCACCCCCCGGGGGGATGGCCACACCACAGTCCTTTCTTTCTCCTCCATTCTCCTCCCTGGATCTTGGGCATGCATGCACACGTGTCCGGCCTGATTTTGAAGTCACTGGGTCCGGGACTCAAACTGTAATCAACCATGTGGGAGTCCAATGACATAACCGCTACACCTCCTGCTGGTCACAAGAGTGGCTTTCTTAGACACAGGAAAGGGCATAAAGACCAGTTCCTGGGACTTATTTGCAATTACTTGTCACATTCTTCAGTGGAAGCCTCTGTCGAAGTCCTCAAATGAAATGTGATCATATCCCATTGTCTTGTCTGTTTCTCATGATGCTTTGTTCTTTGACCCAGAAACAGAAAGGATAGTGCTAGAGGCAGGAAATGGATTGCCCTCCTGGCAATGACCAGACCAGCTTTTCCCCTGTGATGTGTG